CAGGGGAGAGAGAGAGATGGGTGTTGTGTTTCTTTGATTTTTGAGAGAATTTTCTTGGGGTAAGAAAGCCTGCCAATAAGGAGGAAACACTGGTCTTGTGCATGTTTGCAGAGATATAGGTGTGACCTAAGAGGCATCCAAGGAAGATTCCTGAAAGACACTGCCTCTTCCATGAGCAGATATCCACCTAGCTGAGAACATGGGGGAGGAGGAGGATCTGCTTTGGAGGAAGATATGCTTTGGAGAATGAGCTCAATGAGGGGTTAAAATGTATGTCAACTCAAAAATGCTATTTGAGATGAAAAATTTACCTCACGTTTTAGCTGAATTTAAAGGGGAAGGTAACAGCTGTAGGAGCCAATGAAGCTGGTTGGAGCAGGGAGGGAAGGGGAATGGGAGCCTGTTTTGTACCACAGAGCTGCTTCTGTAAGTTGGTGAGCTGAATGGGAGGTAGAGGAGCTTCCTGCAATCTAACCTTGGGATGTAGGTGGTCACTGGAGGGCTAAAGGAAGCCAACAACTGACAGAGATTGTGTAAAAATGACAGACTGTACATTTCATACCCCTTGCGCCAACATTATCTAATGTGGTTTTCTTAACCATCATGGGAAGGCACAGAAAACTAGCTGGGTGCTTCTTACTATACTTCTGGTGGGTAGGAAACAGCTGCAATTGCTCTCCAAGAAAAGTTGTTCAAGACACTGGTGTAGCAAAGAACAATTACTTTCCTCTGCAGCAGGAAAACAGCAGGGTGACAAGTCATGCCTACTTACCTACTGGAAAGGCAGCCTTGGGGGAATTCTGTGCCACTGAACATGCGCAGAATTCATATGACCTGCAGATTTTTTATCTCCTCAGAAAATATATTTTGCCAGAGAGGCACTGCAGTTACACCTTTCGCCCACCAGGGGCTGCTGTGGTGCCAGAATAAAGGCAGCTAGCTCACCACTCATCAGCCGTAGCAGTCAGCAGCCAATAGGGAGAGAGCACAGCGCCCTGCCTGCGGGGCTAGGACGGTGGGGAGGCACAGGATATGGGGAGAGGGACAGACTGGAGTGGGAGCTGAATTGGAGTGGGGATGCAGGGATACATGGGGATGGGGGACGGAGTTCAGGACCACATGGGGAAGAAAGAGGAGGGGTGGCTGAGTGGGGGTGCAGGGATACATGGGAACGGGGGAGGAGGAGTGTAGGGACATATTGGGACGGGGTAGATGTGCCTGATTGATAGGGAGAGGCTAGGGGTCAGCCAGGGTCTGCATGGGGGAGGTTCCTTCCCCTCAACCCAAAACACAGCTGTTCCATATTTCTCCCACCCACACCCAACAACCCTCCAGGTTCACTCCCAGGCGCCTTCCCAGCAATTACTTCCTTCTCCCTCAGCTCCTCCGTTACCCCTGATTCTCCCAAGCCTTTGCATTGCTTCTGAGGGGTCCAGGAAATACGTTTCCACATTGTAGTTTAAATGAATTATTACTCAAAGTGCCTAGTAAGGAATCTATCTGTCAAAAAACATTTTCTGGATCTTTTTTGATGTCTGTATTATTACAGACATATTTGTTGATAGGTATTTGAAAGAAATTACCAAAATAATTGAAACTGGTGTGATTATATTGTGTTATTTTGACAAATGAATTTTGCAGAATTTTTAATTTTTTGGCTCAGAATCGCCCCAGGAATATTGCTTACGAGAAAAGTAGTATTTGTCCTATAAACACACATTAAGTAACTACTTTTATCTGTAGCTAATCAAGAATACCAAAATTAGATATCAGATTACAATGGTCCTCTAATTCGGTTTCTGGAAGATGAACTATTCATGTATTCACACTTCATGGCATGGAATGAAAACAGTTATCAACTGATGTGGTTGTTTTTTCAGACAAATCTATCTGTCTGATAATTTCCATCAAGATCATTAAAAAATTAAGCAGTTGCGTAAGTAAGTGTCTGTAAAAAGACCAAGTTCACTGAAGAGTCTCACAAAATCTGAACGTGTGACTATTCAGCAATCATACTAGGTAAAGCAAAGCACAATCACAAGTTGCTACACGTCAAATGCTTCTGGCATGAGTAAAAATATAAACTAGTCTTGCCGGCATAAAGATAAGAAGGGCAAGATTTTATGAATACTCCAGCTGGAGATTGTCCCAGAGCACAAAAAGGTTAATTATTCATTAGGAGGCAGAAGGAAGGCGCTGACCTATCATCAAGTGGCATCCTCCTTTCGTTCAAAGATCGATATGACATTTATCCAATCCTTTTCTTCTCGACTCTTTTACTTGGGTTCAGTACCCCCAAGGCCAGTGTAGCATATGCATACAAACTCAAAGCTGCTGACAAGAGAGGATAAATTCACAGAAGTGCATTCAGACTACCTGCAACCTGAGGCCCTCAATATCTTCTGCAAGTAAAAACTGCTTGGACTAGAACTGTTCTGATTATAAACATTTTCCCCAGACTGCCTCAAATATAGTACTTAAAACAATAGTCTGGCTCTGGAAAGTATACTTGGTATTCTAAAAGAGCCAATTTCATAAAACTGAAAACAATTATTGGGAGAAAGAATTTAAACAGAAAAAAGTGAATGGTAACAGGACACCATTTTAAAATATTTTACTAGATGCCCAGAATGCCATAATTCCACAAATGAGAAAAAAAGGTCACACTGGGGAACTTTTCAATAAGTGTTGGAACACTGGGAAAGTTCCAGAGCCTGGAAGAAAGCTAGTGCTTTGCCTGTATTTACAGGGGTAAAAAGGACAACAGAGCTAATTATAGGCCCTATCAGCCTGACATGAACTCTGAGGAAAACAATGGAATGGCTGATATGAGACTCGATTAATAAAGAATTAAAGGAGGATAATATTATTAATGCCAGTCAGCATGGGTTTATGGAAAACACATCTTATCAAACTGATCTTATATCTTTTTGGGGTGAGATTACAAACTGGGTTGATAAAGGTAATAGTATTGATATTTAGACTTCTGTAAGGCATTAAAGTTGGTGTTGCATGACATTTTGATTAAGATACCAGAACAATACAAAATCAGCATGGCACATGCTAAAATAGATTAAAGGTTGGCTAATTGATAGGTCTCAAAATGTAATTTTAACGGGGAATCATCGAGTGGCTGTGTTTCTTGTGAGGTCCTGTAAGGATCAGATCTCAGCCCTATGGTTTCTAACATTTGTATCCATGACCCGGGAGAAAACAAAATCATCACTGACAAAAGTTTGTAGGTGACACAAAAATTGGAGGAGTAGTAAACAAAAGAGGACAGGTCACTGATACAGAGTGATCTGAATCGCGTGGTAAACTGAGCATGCGCCAATCATATTTTTTAATAGGCCAAGTATAAGGGGTCATACATCTATGAACAATGAATAAGGCTGCGATTTAATCATGGGTATTTTTAGTAAAAGTCATGGGTAGGTCTTGGGCAAGAAACAAAAAACCACGGCCCAAGACCTGTCCATGACTTATACCATATATACCCCGCTTAACTCTTGGGGCATGGGAGGGGTGTTGCCGGGGGGGAAAGAGGTGAGCCCGTGGCACCAGCTGCCGGAGGGGGTGGGAAGCTGCCGGGGAGGGGGGGCAGCCCCGTGCTGTGGGAGGGGGGAGCTCCAGGGGGCCAGCTGCTGCTCTGGCCACCCTGGGACCACTGCCAGGAGCCACTGAACTGCGGTGGCTCCAGTTGCCCTCTGGACTGCTGCTCAGGCAGTCCCCAGGGCCAGCTGCATCGGCTGCTGCTTGGGCGGTCCCCGGGACCAGCTGCCTGGGGCTGCTAAAGCAGCGGCCGGTGCGGCTGGCCACTCTAACAGCAGCTGGTGTGGTTGGCTGCGGGGCCGCCCGAGCGGCTGGCTGCAGAGCCGCTCCAGCAGCAGCCAGTGTGGCTGTCCCCAGGGCCAGCTGCTTGGCGCCCCTGGGGTCAGCCACACTGGCCGCTGCAGAAGTCACGGAGGTCGCAGAAAGTCACAGAATCCACAATTTCTGCGATCTCTGTGAAAAACACAGAGCCCTAACAATTAATGACAGGTTTCAGAGGGGTAGCCATGTTAGTCTGTATCAGTAAAAATAACGAGGAGTCCTTGTGGCACCTTAGAGACTAACAAATTTATTTGGGCATAAGCTTTCATGGGCTATAACCCACTTCATCAGATGCATGGAGTGGAAAATACAATAAGCAGGTATAAATATACAGCACATGAAAAGATGGGGGTTGTTTTACCAAGTGGGGGGTCAGTGCTAACGAGGCCAATTCAATTAGGGTAGATGTGGCCCATTCCCAACAGTTGACAAGAAGGGGTGAGAATTAATAGAAGGAAAATTATTTTTTGTAGTGACCCAGACACTCCCAGTCTTTATTCAAGCCTAATTTGATGGTGTCAAGTTTGCAAATTAATTCCAGTTCTACAGCTACTCGTTGAAGTGTGTTTTTGAAGTTTTTTTGTTGAAGAATGGCCACTTTTTAAAGTCTGTTATTGAGTGTCCAGGGAGATTGAAGTGTTCTCCTACTGGTTTTTGAATGTTACAATTCTTGATGTCTGATTTGTGTCCATTTATTCTTTTGCGTAGAGACTGTCCAGTTTGGCCAATGTACATGGCAGAGGGGCATTGCTGGCACATGATGGCATCTATCATATTGCTAGATGTGCAGGTGAACAAGCCCCTAATGGTGTGGCTGATGTGGTTAGGTCCTATGATGGTGTCCCTTGAATAGATATGCGGACAGAGTTGGCAGCAGGGTTTGTTGCAGCAAGGACTCCTTGTTGTTTTTACTAACAATTAATATAAACCATATTTACAGAATGGGGAACTTTATCCAGTATAGCATCACACTCCATACTGTGAAAATTCATTCAAGCAACTTTTCTTGATTTTGCTTGTAAAAGGACTGTTTACTTCCTATACTTTGAAAATTATGAACTCTGAATGATTCACTCTCCGTCAAGATAAACAATAGCTTAGGATATCCAATGCTATAAAATTCCTACCTCTGTCGTGAAGACTGTTTCTCAATGCCCTTTCAAACTGTTCTTCTTCAGTAAGCCCACCAGTGTACGTGTCATAGTCCCCTGGTGTGTTGTATGGGTAACTTGGGTGTCTAGAATACCCTATAGAATGAGAACAAAAAAAGCTAAAATAAATAAATAAAATGCTGGCATTGAATAAAATATTTGATTTTACTGTCTATCATCGCCTCAAGCAGGTTTTCCTTTTGAATTAGAAAACAAGTTTTAGAGGGAAAAAATGTGATTAATAAAGAATCTGCTACAAGCATATATGCAGTAAAACAAACTATTTGCCAGTTTTGTATGTTATAAATGATATACTATGGTGGCAGGCAAGGCCTCCGGTAATTAATATTTTAAAGAAAAATGTATTCAATTTTTTTTAAATTACTTCATGGTTTATAAAAGTGTAATAAAATGCTCCATTTCAATAAAAGACTTTTACTCTAAAATTAAAAGGCTGAGTTTTAATGAGCCTTTTAAAATTTAAATGCCAAGAACTGGAGACCATATTAATGTGACAGAGTTAAAAAACAGAACTAAACTGAATTTTCAGTTACCTTTCATGCATCTTTTGACCTGTACTTCATTTCACTTCTCTCCACAGTC